AGAGGAGAGGAGAAGAGAAGAGAAGAGAAGAGAAGAGAAGAGAAGAGAAGAGAAGAGAAGAGAAGAGAAGAGAAGAGAAGAGAAGAGAAGAGAAGAGAAGGGAAGAGAAGAGAAGAGAAAGAAGAGGGGTGGGGTATAACTAAACCTGGTATGTGAAAGAGCTTGCACTGTATTGTCTTTCTCACTGCCCTCTCTAAAACACACACACACACACACACACACACACACACACACACACACACACACACAGTACAATTCCTACAGCATCTTAGGGTTCCTGTAAGACCTAAAATGAAAAAGGTCTCTTTAACTTTCAACCACAAAATAATTTTTGTCTCGTTGCATCATAAACCTTTAAACCGTTTATAAGCCGAACAGGAACAAACATAAACACGGAATGTCAGAACTCCAGTCTTTGGGAAAAGAGGATGGCTTCTTTGAGAATCGTCTGCTGCTTTCACCGACACCAAAGGGCGCGCCAGTCTAAAGAATGTCTATGTTTTTTTTTTCTTTTTTTCCCCCTCTTTCTCAAATGTTCCCTCTTCCTTCTAATTGAAAACTTACAGTTCTATTTTGGACCCGGCTGGGGGTAAACCGTATGTGTACACGCCAACTGAACACGATGTCCTTCAGTTACGGATAGATTCGCCACATTCGCCACATCCCTGCTGTGGCTTCTCCTGCTTCCATGGAAAACTACACAGACTAATACACTGCCATGATGTGCTGGAGATTTATAGCGAAAGCTTAGGGACAAACCCCATGACATCAGGTCGTCGCCGTCCCCCACCCCCTCCAGCACATCCTGCCTGAGTGTCCTGAAGAGCATGGCTCTCAGCCAACAGCTTTCTCCTTAATCTTGTTATTCCATTTGCCAAGACGAGGTGACCTGGGAACCTGGCTGCAGAGGACAATAGTGAGTGTGGACTTCCCTTTCCACTGAGGTCCTGGGCTTACCATCTGTCATCTGTTGACTCTTGCTTCAGGCCCAATTCATAGATAAATAAAGTCAAAACCAACACAAACATCTTGAGAAGACCTGTCACACTTTTGCACCTCTGCAAATCCCTTACACTGCAAAAGAGCCTCTTTGCCTACATTTAAAAAAAAATTGCTCATCTCAAGGAGGGACACTCAAGTAGTTGGGACATTCAGAAACCTCTCACGAAAAATAAGAAAGAGCCGTCTCACAGACGGCCCGTCGGAGGTGTCCAACCTTTGCTGTGACAAAGCTGTAATTTGCCACCAGCCTGTTTTGCTCATTTCCCTCATTCTATTATGGCGTTGCTTGTGCAGGCTGGAAGGAAGCCTGTGGTCCCACAGTAGCCAATTTGGCTACAAGACCTGGCTATTCTGCTACCAACCGAGCCATTCTGGGAAAGTCACAGTTTGAGCTTCCGTTCTCGATGTGGAAAACGTGACACTCTTCTTTGTGTTGCTACTTGAGCACACACACAGTCTTTCATGTGTTATTAGTGAACACCTAAATGAGAAACCACCTGTGAGCCCTCCCTCTTCCAGCCTGACCAGCCACGCACGTGCAATCCTAACGAAGCTTAGAAGAGACCCAGGAGTCCTAAGTTAACAGTGGGTTGATCATCATCAACAGGTAACACGTAAATAGGTGAGTTAACAGGTGGGTTGATCATCATTAGTGGTAAACGCAGTTCCAAAGTTGCCAAAATTATACCTGACCACAAATGAATACAAAATCATCTTTCCCCCGATTACAAACTGCCAGCAGCTAGTTTTTTTTTTTTTTTTTCATTTTATTTATGGTCATTTACAATAGAACACATCTTTGCAGCAGTTGAATAAGCAGTTGCTCAGCATTGGGGCTGCTATAAAGTATAGGCAGCTTTACTAATATATACAATATATTAGTGATACACACACAAACACACACACACATACACACACACACACACACACACACACACACACATGCAGTGTGCATTACAGTCAAAAATGGCCTGTTTTATGACTGGGGTTGCTGTGTCTGAGAGGAGAGACAATAAACCAACATTGCATGTTCATTTTCAGTCACCTGAGTTCTCCACTAAGATGAGCAGAATTTAAAAAAAAAATTAAAGTCATGTAACGTTAAGAAAGGTGTTTAATGTCATTAGACACCTTTTCTGTAGAATGTGTGGGTGGAGCGAGATGATCTGAATGGCCACTGAGATCTCTAAAACCATGATTCTGAGTGAGGGGGTAAAAAAAAAAAACACACCTAGCAAAGTGTAGACAAAGCCTATGAGGGGGCCCTGATTGAGTCACCTAGAATTGGTAGGAGGCAACCCCTTAAGGGTTCATCCATGCTGCTTGGGAAGTCCATACCCCCTGAAACTGCAGAACACTCTGAACATATGGTGACACAGTAGTACCAAAGAGCATGCTGTAAAGTGGAAAGGCACATCTCACTACAGAGAGCATCTTCAGATACCCAGGGAGCCAAATGCTGAACACAAGCCACAGAAAGGGAAGTCTGACAGCATCTCCTCCCTCTGACACAACTTCACAAAATTTATGAATCTCAAGTTGGCTGCAAGATGGGCAACAGGAAGAACATCACCACTTTAGCAAACCAAACACAGTCAATGCTTCCAAGTCGATGATTCAAGTCTCCTGAGAAGTGAAAGGAAAGGTCTTGCCCCATGTTTTCTGTAACTATTTCCCTACCTGGGGAAAAGTCGCTACAATCCCCAGCCCTTTTGGCTCTTTAGCTTGGCTGCAGAGGCCAGAGGCAAGCAGCAGCCACATGATGTTGCTATGCCACATCTGGGAATCTCACAGCGAGTGTCTTTGCCTTCTCACTCTGCCTGTAGAGAGAGAAGCTGTCTAGCCTTCTGAACACAGGATGATCTACCATTCTCTCTTTCCTTCAAGTTTCACTGGAACATGCTATTATGGTGTCCATTACGTCTCTGTTCAGAGCGGTCAGCTGGTGAAGGAATTGCTATAAGGGAATTTGCCTCCCTGTGGTTCAGTACTGCAGAATGTCTTTCCCATCCTCTTGTCTTGTTCTAGAATCATGGCCTCACCACTCTCTGGAACTATAAGGGATCTTCATGGCCAACACCCACATCATGCAATGGGGGAGTAAGTCTATTTCCATTGAAAAGATATCAATTACATGCACTCTAAATCATTTCATTCCAAATTATTTTATAAACTCCATATGTCTACATCTCCTTTAATAAGTGCTAAATAACAGAGCTGGTCAGAGATTAAGTAAAATTCTTCAAGAGTTATGATACTCCACTCCTTAAATATTTTCATACAACACACACCCAGAAATCAAAACGTTTAGTAGAGCCAGATGTTCAACCACTGGACTGTGGTTCAAGGATTGTCCCATGAATCATGTTTGTTTATTACTTGTTGTAAGAGGATCTGAAAACTATAGTTTTTACCAGGCAACAAAATATAATAGCTGCAAAATTCCAAAGAAGGATGCCAAATTAGGTTAGGAAGTTCTTCAAAGCAAATGGCCTTGGGATTCAGAAGGCTCCTCTCTGGGCAGCTCAGATGTAAGAGGACTCAGGAGAGCCAGGGAGTGAAGACAAGCCAGAGAAGAGAAGTCTTAGCAGGCAGTGGGTGGTTTGTTTTTTTTTTAACCAAGTCTCACTTGCTGTTAGGGAGCTGGAAGGAGGCACCTAGCTCTACCCTTGGGCTAGGGGAGAGGAGAGTCTCGGAAAGCAGCATGAATATTCCTTAAATCTGAAAGATAAGAGGCTGATGCTCATTCACCCTGAATGTAGCTGAAACTGACCCAGAGCCTGGGCTCTGCTCCCACCCACTGGGGACCTAAGAGGCGACTGCACAGCTGCCTGCTTTGGAGGCAGAGCCGGAAGAATGCTGCTGCCTCCAGATCCATGGCAATCCTAGGCAAGGGAAGGATGAGAGCCCTCAGTAGAACTTCGGAGCCCAAGACACTGGGAACCATAGAGGGTACTTCCTTGGATCCTGCCCAGTAGGGCCACCTGGAAAAGGATGAAGCAGCTTAAAGACACCTTACCCAGTTCCTGGACCGAGGAACCAGTGAAGTGACCACTCAAGCAGAGCAATCAGGTAGTCTCCAGCTGAGCCAAGGGATGGCTAGGAGAAAGACAAATGACAAAAAAGCTAGGAAGTGTTAAAGGAGACACATGTGCTAGGAAAACGAGGCATCTGCTAGCCTAGAGTGAACGCACAACAAGAAGACTAGTTCCAGAAAGATGTACATACTTGTAGCTGAAGTTTTCTTGCCCAGCTCCCGCAGCCCTGCAGCCACTAGGACCCAAGTAAACACACAGAGGCTTATATTAATTAAAACGGCTCAGCCATTAGCTCAGGATAACTATTGACTAGCTCTTACACTTAAATTAAACCATAATTCTTATTTATGTTTAGCCACGTGGCTTGGTGCCTTTTCTCAGTTCTGCCTTCACATCTTGCTTTCTGTGTGTCTGGCTGGCAACTCCTCACTCTTCCCAGAATTCTCTTCTCTGCTTGTCCCGCCTATACTTCCTGCCTGGCTACTGGCCAATCAGCACTTTATATATATTAACCAATCAGAGCAACACATTCACAGCATACAGAGCGATATCCACAGCATATACTATGTAACCTCTTCTTCTGGTGCCTGTCTCACCAGAGCCCTGTGATGTTGGACCAGCAGCTATTGAGATGGACAAGGAGGAATGGAAGCGTAAAATCAAGAGATGATAATTGCACCTGCCCTACTGCAGGTCCTGGAGCTGGGAGGAAGGATGCAGGGTCAGAGGAGAGCATCAACAGCAAACATGTCTACTGTTGTAGTAAGGTGTTCTTGGTTTTGCCTCTCACTATACTTATGACTTAGTGATTGTCAATCATCTGCCACTTAGAGCCAGAGGGGTGGAGG